CAATACAATCTCGCAAATAAACAGATTTAACATAAACATTCAGATACATAAAGAATTTCATAATCCGTATATATATATAAATAATACGTCATTGTCGCTGTGAATGGACTTTGGCTATCACGTGTATATACGACATAAACGTTCAACAGGTTAAGGATTTGTATCTTATAAGAATGTAAGTTTCAAAAACGTATAATTATCGTACCATATTAGTTATAATAAAAATTATAATAAAAATAAAGTCAATTTTATAAAAGAAAATTAAATTTTCTTTTCGTCGATGTATCCATCGCGTTTTTAATTACTTCTTGGACTAACTTTGGCATTTGTTTATTAATTTGTTTATTATTTCTGATCCTATTTATATATATTTCGGAAACATATCGTACGAAATGAACTCTGCATACGTTTTCACTGAACAAAATGCAATAAATCGATAAACAGATTGCATAAGTGACAAACACTTTTAATTTCATGTGTACTTTCGACAATATGATGCCATAAACTGAATGAGTAATTACAATTTATACTAAATCAACAGGTGTCCTAATACTTTTTAAGAGGGGGGTGTACGTATAATATGAAGTTTTTCAAAGACACCAAAAATTTGAAGATATCAAAGAATTTGGAAAATATGAAAGTATTATATTATATTCTTTTTACGATATAATAAAAATACAATAATAAAATACAATACAATAAAAATATCTGCGATAGACTTTATTTCTTACAACAATCACAAGTTCTTATTTAAAAAAATAAGGGTGTCGAGACTTTTTGGTTTCAAGCTCAACAGCCTGTCTGATATTATTAATCCTGCTTTGCTAAATGTTCTTTCTAATGCTATCAAAAATGCCGGTATGCAAACATATGTTTTGCATAACTCCGGCAAAAGTTTTAAGACCTATATAGGTCATTCACCCATAAATAGTAGAATTATTTAAATAAATATATTATCGAAATGTTATATCAAGGTTATTATACCTAAAAGTTCATTTAAATTGCCTTCCAACATATTGACTACTCTGATCGGAACTATTAATGATAAGAAAAAACAATAGACGGTTTTTCGTAGCGAAATGAAATTTTTAAATAATAGTATGTTTTGATATCAGGATATTAAAAAAATAAACCTTCGGATAAGAGAGTTTCTACTGTACTATCGATAGTTCTCCACCTCTATTGCATAGGATAGACCGTCCGAAGGGGAGAAATTGTGCAGCAAACAGCTCGAGAGACCTTTGCGGAGGGTTGTTGAAGGGATTGAATAGCAGCAGGACATCGGACCATCGGACCCGCGAAAATCAGCAGCGAGATCAACTCGCTCCAGATTTGCTACTAATGCCGCGTTGTTAATTGGCCACCGTCACGGCGGCTGATCCCTTATCGTGTGAAAGTAATCGTCGCAGCTCTCGATAACGAAGCTTGTAAAAGACCGCGCCGCCGAAGATAGATTTTCAGGTTTCTCTTTTCTCCGGTTACACGCATGTAATCGCTACCCTCGTGAAAGAGAAACTTCCCATTGTATCGCGCACGGTACCGGAAGCTTCGCGCGTACGCGAAATGCCATATGCGTCTGGCTCGTTGATGATCGCTGCAATCAGAGTGCACACTTCTGGCTCAAGCCTGCAGAGATCAGATAGGTCTGTGCATTATGAACGCACGCGTAGATATCCTCGAGTCGAACTTCGCCGTCGAACGCGTCGATTAATTGCGCGCCGCTTTTACGCTGCGCCGAGATTCGCGAATATTAAGCGTGTTCGTGGCGGCTTCAAAGAAGGTGTTCCGTTTTGGTGCACTTTCTTAGGCCGTTGTGCGTCCGAGAAATACAGTCTCTGAGAAAATTAGGTGGATAGGTAGTAGAATATGGTCTATTTATACTGCGGATTTTATGTATTTATGGCAAAAATGTGTAATTGAAATATAAAAGACGTAAAAAAAATTTAATACTACTGTTACGGTATTTTCGACATATAAAAATTATTAAAATAAACAATTGACCTTTATTTAAATTCCGTTTTTACTTTTATTTTGCATAAAGATCCGCAAGTTATAAGTAAAGTTTAGTCAAGCTTACATTATTGTTATAAATCTAACTTTTATTTTTTCTACATATATCCTTATTAGGACATGGATTATTTAGTGAAAAATTCAAACTAATATTTACATTCTTATAAACGCAATTTAATAAAATAATTGGCTTATTTGCTGAGGGACGAAAATAAGTGGACACATAATGAATTACACGATAAGTAAATAAAATACAGTTAAGTTAATATCTTGTGTTGCCACGTTTTTCTTAATAATAATTTATATATTATTATAATTATAACTATATAATATATTATATATATATGTAATAATATTATAATAATATATTAATTTAATTTATAATAATAATTTATATTATCATTACGAACTTAACTTTTACATAGTCTG